CCAGATACTTCTAGATGGTCCAGGGCCCCAAAGGTGAGGGGTATTTCTGCCCAGCCTGACAAAGGCTGCTTCTCTGCTCTGCCCAAAACTCACTGCACTCTGTTTTCAGTGGTCCCTAAATGTCAAAAGTGGCAAGAATTTCAATACTTTATATTTTTTTCTTTTCAAATTATAGTAATTTCACCCAAGTTGACTGCTCATGCTGTTAAGACATTATGAGATCTTAAAGTAGCCCTTCTTGGCTTTATTTCAGTGAAAACAAAAGCCAAATCAAGACAAAACACAGGCAGAGCTCCTCAGCCAGAAAGCTACCAGCCTTTTGTGGGGAGTGTGTGGTGACAACAGCCACGGCTCTGAGTCCTGCTGGGGATGCCAGGGGAACCTCAGAGGTGACAAAGGCTGTGCTCTTTCAACAGTGCCACACTGCTCTTTGTAGGACACATTTATCGTGCACTTAATGATGGGCTATATGCAAATGGTTTTTAGCTTCTGCGGTCTAAATTTTCCAAATGGTGCTAATCAGAATCTGACTAGATCAAAGGACAAGAAGCCATTTTTCCTGAAGTTTCCTCTGATCAAAACAGATGACCTTGAATTCAGAATCTTTCTAGTTGGGTCCAAAATCACACATGAAAGAGGCAATTTTTCCCTCCTTTATACATCCATATCTATATCTAGCCACCTTTTCTGGAACGTTTCACTTTCTTGAAAGCTGTAGTCAGGGCTGAGGTCATGGCTCAAGTGCTATAGTGCTTGCTTAGCAAGCTCAAAGCCCTGGGTTCAATTCCTAGTGCCACAAAATGATAGCAATAATAATAGTACATGAGAAAAGGTTAGATCAAAAAGAATTAACCTAGAAGGTAACACACACGCACAGGAAATTAATGTGAGTCAACTCCCTGTATGGCTATCCTTATCTCAACCAGCAAAAACCCTTGTTCCTCTATGTAGCCTGAGCTACATAGAGAGACTTTTGCAAAAAAGCAAACAAAAATAAAAAATACACTGTATGGTAGGGTGTCCACAGGTTATTTACAAGCATTGTGACATTTTCTTGAAAAGGTATTAGCATCTGTGGACTCAAGTATGCACAGGGGTTTCTTGAACCAACCTTCCTCAGGTTTGGCCAGATGACTGTATTTCAAGGGGGCAGAGAAAGAATTTATAATTGCAAGATTTCTAAAATCAATGATCTAAGAAAAGGGAGGTCAGGGGCCTAGAGTCGGGAAGAAACCTGTGTAAAGTTTAGCCAGACTGTGATAAATGGTTATCCTTTCAGGCAATCCTTAATAAATGTACCCCAAAATTCATCCTTGCTGCTTGAGACGGACCTTAAACCCAGGGACATATAAACTTGGAAATATCAGGTCCCTGTATGGGTAGCCTGTTGAAATGAGCACATAAATGTTTCCTTTTAATGCTCTCAGTTAAAGTGTTTTCATTGATGGACTCAATGAACATGAAGTGTCTAGTCTGTGCCAGGCAGTACATTAGGCATGAACAAGGCAGAAACCTCCCCTCAGAGCAGCCTTTGAAGTGCCCTGTAGGAGAGAGATGAGTAAATGAAACGTTTAGATAGCATTGAGAGTCCTTCAAAATCTTAAACAGAAGATCACCTCATGGCCCGCACACCACCCAACAGAAATGGAAGCATATGCCTACCCCAGACCTGTACACAAATGTGCACAGCAGCGTTATTCAGAGCAACTTAAGATGGAAAAACCCATGTCCATCAACTGGTGACGGCACTACAAAATATGGCAGGTCCTTATTATTCAGCCAGCAATAGAAAGGAATGAAGCAGTGATCATGTTATACCACGATTACCTGGAAAACATTATGCCAAGTAAAAGAATGTAGGCAGAGAAGACTGCATAATGGATGCCTTCAGAAATGTCTCGAATAGGCAAAAACCACAGGGACAGGAGACCATAGATGAATGGTCACCGAAGGCCTACGGGGCTAGGAAGAAAGAGAATGATTCTTATTGGGTGTAAGACTTCTGATCACAATAATGAAAGTGCTCTAAATTTGATTGTGTTTAGTGATGATAGTTGCACAATTTTGTGAATATACTAAAAACCCTTGAATGATATGTTAGGAATGGGTGAGTTCTATAGTGTGCGAATTGTATTTAATAAAAGCTGTTACAAAATATACGTGTATTATAAGCTTGAATATATATTACATAAATGCATATTACCTAATATGAAAACAGCTTCAGGATACTCAACTGTGGGCGTGAACAGGGGTGACACAGACAGAATTTCGAAAAGGAGATGAAGGCCGAGATGACCTTGAAGCACGAGGTTTCCGAAGCCCTCTGGGAACAGAAGCCTCTATCCCGGGCTGGAGCAGCAAGTTCCCTCTGTGAAGCTGCAGGAAGATCAGTAGATCCACAGCCCAGGAGTGCGTGAAGGAGGTGGATGTAAACAGAGCCTGGGCACTGAGAGGAATTTGATCTTCATTCCTTGAGAGGCAGGTTAGGATGATAGCAATGTCCCTGAAGCCAGGCCGCTGGGCTCACTTCCAGCTTTGCTCTTACTGGCTACGTGGCTTTGTCAAGTCACTTTACCTCTCTGAGCTTCAATCCCCTGCCCCATTATAGAGATTGACCTGTGACTAGAGCTAATGTGTCCTCGGAAGGAGGCCTGGCACGCCCCAAGCTTTGCATGCGGTTTTGCAACATGACATAATCATGAGCCATTGGGTGATTTCAGCTAGGAAAATGACCTGAGGGGTTTCAGGAGGAGCAGCACCCCCAGTGATGTGACGGGTGAAGGGATTAGGCTAAAGCAGTGAGATTTAGAGAGGGCTGCTACAGACACCCCAAAGAGATGGTATCTGGAGAGGTCGGGAGCAATAGGAATGACAGAACAGAGAGCATTTGAAAAGACTGAGATAGAATCAATAGGACATGATAACTAATGAGCAAAGGCCGTGAGAGATTGGATGGGGTGCATTTGGTCCCTAATTTGGGTAACTGGGTGGATGAACAGCAAGATCTCACTGAGTTGAAGGCAATAGAGAGAAGAGACACCTCACAAGCCATATCATTGGGCAAATCTATAGACTGTACTTGTGGGATTCAAACAAGGTTTTCTGATGTCAAATCCAGCATTCTTCTCATTTCGTCCCTGCCTATAGTTGATGTGACTTGTATTTGAGAGTATCATGTCACAAGGAGGCCACCTCTGTATTATACTCAGCCATGGTGGACAGGGGAGGGCAGCTGAAGGGGGAGGAGTATGGAGAATTGCACATTAGTGGTCTAGAAGGAGAGAGAGCTCTGAAGGAACTGAAAGACTATGGTCAGACCATTTCTTGGAGCAGATCAGTGTCACTGGTAGAAATCTCAGGCCAAGGAATGTAAAAAATGCAAACTTGCTTTTTCCAGAACTGAGCTATATTCCCATTTCAAGCCCTGGTTCCTTCACTCATTCAATTCTGGATCTCCTGCCATTTTTTTCTGAGGCTGACTCTAAGAGAACTGCACGAAGCTCAAGATTCTTTCGGAAGACCTTCTGCCTGGACAGTGGATTTAAAGTGTTTAACAGGGAGAGGAAGTGACTTTGGGGATACTGGACATGTTTACCCAAAACTGGCTGACCAGTAACTTAGCATAGGGGCCTGGAATAGAGTAGGTGTTCAGTAAATGTTGTAGTTGGAGTGATTGGAACTAAAACAGATTCAGATAGACTTAGGGTGTCAAAGGTGTCATAGGTGTTAGCTACTTTCTTCCCAAGGAGTCCACCGAAATTGCTCCTCTCTCTCAGAGACATCTAGCTGCTCTGATAGGTAACTTCTTGCTAGTGTGTCCTCAAACAGATTGCTCCTCTCAGGTCCATCACACAGAGCCTGTTACCCCCTGTAAAGGGGAGTCAGCAATTGTCCACTGGGAATCAGAGCAGCCATTGGCCATGCCTTCCTCCACTGGAAACCAATCTGTTTAAAAATTATTTATTAAATAAAATTAAAATTTATTTCCTAGTCAATGGTCAAGTTCATGCAGGATGTTAACATACACATCTTACAGGAGTCTTACAGGGGGGAGCTTCAGGTGGGTTGGGTTGGGTTTTGGAACTAGTGATGTCCCAAAGTATTAATGGTCAAAGTATTGATGTTGCTTCATACTAATGTTAATGCCAGGGACACATTGCTAAAGGGACGGTGCTTGACCCCCCACAGGGTTCTGATTTCCTTAATGCTCATTTTTCTTAGGAACCTGTTCCCCTCTACATGGGTATGTGTGATTCTAAAGAAGAATGGTTAGCCATGGTTCGCAAATGCTTTGTCCTGCTCCCCCTTTACAGTGAAAGATTGTATTTAAAGGGATCTAGGACCCCTCAGGCTTAGGGTTCATGGTTTGCTTGGTAGTGATCATGAGCTGGGGACAATGTATCAAAGGAGGAGGTCATCGTCAGAATGGCCCGTGCGTGCGTGCGTGTGTGCATGTGTGTGTGAGCATCACCCTGATGGGTGCTCCAGACATCAGGACTCCTCCCTGCCTGACATTTGAATGGGAATGGCTCCCCATTGGCCCCTTCCTGTCTGCCCTGTGTGCTTCACCTAACCTGTATGCTAGTGTCCTAACTTCCCTAGAGCAGATGCAAGGAGCCCTTTGAAATATGTGTTGTTCTCTGGGCTGAGAATTCCCAACAGCACCTCCTTGGGCGTGGATGCTGGAAAGGATGTCTCAAAATGCCCTGCCAGGGGCCCCAGCTACAGCTCCACTTCTGTAGTGCTTTGCCAGGCGCCAAAAACATCTCCAGTGCTCTGGCCAGGAGCAGCCAATGGAAACCATAGCCAGGACCCCTCCCGCTCCCCCTCAGTGGCATCCCAGCCTCCTGCCTCTCACTTTCCTCCCTGTCTCCTGGCCCGCCTGCCTCAGAAGTAAGGACCCGGCAGGGTGGGCGTCAGCGTCAGCAGCCTCCAGGGATTCAGAACTCCTGGTCTCATCTGCCCTGTGGTTCCTGGAGGGAGCCTCTACCCTTACAAAGATGACTTGGAGTCAGGTCCTCCTCCTGTCCTGCCTCTCAGCCACAGTTCTCCTGTGTAGTGAGTATGGGAGGGTCAAGGGCTGACTATGTTAGCTACACAGTAGGACTTACCTTGCACAGGTAAGTTGCTCAGGTGACACAGGTAGGAAAGGTACACTTTTTAAGATGGCTATTCTTGGTGTGTGTGTGTGTGTGTGTGTGTGTATGGTGTGTGGTATGCACAGAAAAATAGCAAAGAAAGAAAAATATAGGAAAACCCCAGCTGTATGTAGGTTCCTAAGGAGAATGATTTTGTGACTGTTATGTGGCAGGCAGGGGGCACCGCACAAAGCCTGGCAAGCAACTAAGCCTAGAAAAGACTGCTGAGGCCTGGCTTGGGGCCTGGCTCTCCCCTTCCCCCTGCCCCAATGCTGCAGTCTCCCTTCTGTGCCCTTGTCCCACAGTGCTGCAGGAGGGGACCAGTGTGACAGTGGGCAGCAGGCAGGCAGCTGGAGAAGAAGCCCAGGAAGGTGAGTGCAGGGCACCCCTGCATGCAGGGGAGGTGGAGTCCATTTCCTTGGTGCCTGGCCCTGTGCCTGTTGTGACAGCCAATTTTCGGTTTCAGGTGCCAAACAGAAGATTTTCATGCAGGAGTCAGATGCCTCAAATTTTCTCAAGAGGCGCAGCAAGCGCTCCCCCAAATCACAAGACGAGGTCAACGGTAAGGACGCTGGGAGGCCTTCCTTCCTGGGTGGAGAACCAAAGCCCTGGGGTGACTGCATCTCTGAGTCAGAAGTGATACCGTGCTTCCTTGATTGAGGGTCACATGCTGCATGTGGCATTAGAAACAGCACCACCTCAATGCACTTAAGGTGCATCAGAATTCAGAAAGTAGAGACTGCGGAGAGGAAATGTGTGCTCTAAACTAGGGTGACACATCACTTCAGGGTGTTTTTTGGGGGGTGTTGGCATAATACCCCATAGAGCAACAGTGTTGCATGCAGGGGAAGAGCCTAATGGGCAAGGAGGACTGAGAAGTATGGGCTTTGTGACAGCTCTGGGCTAAGTGGCATGAGCTGTTTCCTCTCTGTGGTCCCAATTTCCTTATTTATATTCAGTGTTCAGCTGGCAGTGCTTCTTAGAGCTTGAATCTCCGGTGCATTTTGGTGAACGTGTCTCAGGTACAGCTGCTGTAGGCCCTGGAGTCCCCCAGCTAGCTGCCCACAGGACCCTCAGGTCCTTGATCTGCTGCCGACCCTTGAAGGCATTTGAATTTCCTACCCCTGCACTCAAGTCTTCCAAGACTCTGAGCTCAGACTGTCCTGGTCGAGTCTGTGGCTCAATTCTTTCCTTGTGTATGTGAATGAATGAACTCTTTGTGTCCCCAAGCACACTCAGCAAGGTGACTTTGCTTGGCAAAAACAGGACTGTTCTTAAATGATGGGGCAGAGCAGAGATGGAAATGCATGGAGATGAGATTCCCTTCCTTTTAGTTGGATAAGTATAACCACACTAGGACAGTCTCCAGACCTCACACAGCTTGGGACCTGCAAGTTGGCCAACGTCAGGAATCGCTGCAAAGCCCTCACAAAGTCTGAGTCCCTCTTGACTACAATCAGAGAAGCAACTGTCAGCAGATGCCAGGGGAAAACAGGTGTGAGGTCAGGCAAGAGACTATCTTCCCCCTCTGAAGCTGACTTAGGGCAAGGAGGTGCACGATTGAGCCTGAGGTTCCCTTGGACACAGTTAGCAGTCAGGGAGACCCAGGACAGCCTGGTGAGCACCCAGGGCTGCATCTGCAGTCATCTGGTCAACCCCTGTGGACAGGCAAGGAAGCAACAACACTTCAGTCCACTTGAATTTGGAACCAGGAGATGGGGATCTAACTGCTGGAAGCTTCTGGGATAGAGGCTCAGGTTTTATCCTATAGAATAAAAGCAAATGTGATTAATGGATGTTCCTGAAAGGAAGGCATACAATTCCAAGTGATGCATTGTAGGAAATTCCATCTGTCTCGAGAACTAAAGCCTTATTATTCATGATCGTATCAATGGTCCAATTTTTGGCACCTCTAAAAAGCAGCTTGGGAAGCTGGTTTCTTTTCTTGGGTGCACAGAGGGTGAAAAAAACTTCTTTCAGAATTGGCTATCACTCATTCTGCATCGGCTTCCTAAACTTTCAGTCCCCCTCCCTCCAAGGCAGCTTTCTGGTGTCTGGAGCAACACCAGTGAGCCAGAAGGGGGATGCCACCATGCAAAGTGTGTTCCAGGCCAGTAGTGAGAACCTGGCACTCCTCCGCCAACTAGTCATGTAACTTCTGTTAGTCACTGTACCTCTTTGAGCCTGAACCCCTCCTGAGAAACCTGTGGGGCGTGGGGATGAAAGGGACTGTGCACTCCTTCTGCCAGGCTAAAGTTTCCTGCAGTTGTGAGGGAAAGGCAGGAGTCTGTGAAGAAACACAGAACTTAGCTCAGGAATCTGCACTAAGACTAACTCACGGACAGCTTGGTTTTAATGTGAGTTAAATTAAATGATAGAAACACTATAGAAATATCTAGTATTTATATAATTATAAATGTAAATTCCTTGATTCCAAGAGGGATTTGTGATCGTTTCTAATATGATGATTTTGCAAAGAAATCATTTTTGTTGGTTTTCTCAATGCTCCTGTAACGTGGGCTGGGGTGGGTGTAGAGGCCATGGCTTTCCTCTGGCCATCAGAGTGTGGGACAAAACGAGCACCACAGTCCCCTTGCCCCCAGTGTGAGGGGAATCCCACCTTGACATTGTGAGGCCTTCCGAGAGGCCCCTCTTCCTGCAGCAGACGTGGCGTATGGACCCTCATGGATGTTCTGTTAGAAGAAACTGGGGAAGTTAAAAGGTTTGAGTAACATCCTCCAGCTCTCACCGATTTTGATGTTAGCAGTCATCGTGCTTGTGAAATTTATTATTATTATTATTAGCAAAGCTGGGAAATGGAATTCCAGGACCTCACACATGCTAGGCAAGGTCTCTACCACTGAACCACACCCTGGCCAACTGAAACTTGTTTTTATGTCCTTCTTAACTAGGCGACTGGCCAGTCTCTCTTAAGTGGAGGAACAGCATCTTTTTTCTTACTGGCCTTTTTTTACCCTCGTGCTCAGCCTACATCCCAGCTGTGACTTGTACTCAGGTACCAGTGTAAGGTCAACTTTGAATCCAATTAGTCCTATATGGAATTCATTTATGATTATGGGGTTTCAGGTTTCTAAGTGGCCTCAGATCTTGGGTCACACCAAGTTTATGATGGGAGTTAAATCATTGCCCTTTGGGGCTCTGTCTTCTCATCTGCAAAACGGGGTGACTGGATTGGCTTGGATGGTCTCTCAGGTCGGTCAGTTTTACAGTCCATGTCAGGAGGGAACCATTTTAACGAAGCCCCCAACCTCAATCACACCAGATTCAGCATGTTGGTGTCCCCTACATGGGTGTTGTCTGTGCCCTTTTTTTGGAGGCAACTCTTTTTTTTTTTGGTGGTGGTACTGGCATTTGAACTCAGGGCCTCATGCTTGCTAGGCAGGTGCTCTACCACTTGAGCCACCGTTTTTGCTAAGTTATTTTTCAGGTAGGATCTCAGGTTTTTGCCTGGGCTGGCCTCGGACCATGATACTCCTATCTCCACCTGTCAAGTAACTAGGATTATAGGTGTGAGCCACCATACCCAGCTCTTGGGGACACCTCTTACCTGTTTTCTTTCACAGCGGAAAACAGACAGAAGCTGAGGGCTGATGAGCAGCGGAGAGAGTATTACGAGGAACAAAGGAGCGAATTTGAGAACTTCGTGGAGGAACAAAAAGATGGTAAGAGCTCTCCACCAGCGTCTTCAGGGAAGTGGAGTTTTGTGCGGTGATTGCATGGTTTGCCTCCATTTCTTCCCCCCAACTTGTAATTGGAGGAAGGAGGTGGGGGTGATCTACTTCCAATTCATGTGAGCCTTGAAAAGGGAGAAAGCCCCCCAAATGGCTGTATGGAACTTCAGAAGGTGTGGCAGAGTATAGAATACTTTCCTTACCCTTAGCTTGAGGTCGGTGCAGATGAGAGAACTGTTTGTTGATGGTATGAACGTAGACTCCTTTCCCATCCCTTTCTGCTTAAGACTCACTGCAGTGGTCTGTGTTCTCTGCCAAGCCGTCCAAACTCTTGGCATGGGTAGGTATCAAAGTCACTATCGAGTGCCTTGAACGCACATGAATTAACAGCTCCAGGTTCTCCTTCTGTTGGGAAATCAAGGGCTTCCCCAGAATCAGCACCTTAACTGACTGGTGAAGGCAAGCCAAGGAATTGAACTTAGAAGGCACTCACTGACTGGTCCTTGCTACCCTGCCTTGCACCCCACCTTTGCCACCCATATCTACAGCCCTTTTTCAACTGTAGATCACCCAATAGCACCAGGGACCCTGGAAGTTTTCTCGTGGCTTTCTGGTTCCTTTCCTCAAGACTTGGCCTTTTGCCTCTTGTCAACAGGGTAGGTTCTCCAAAGACCAGGCAATTGGCCCACCTCCTTCCTACCCTCAGGCACCTGTCTGCCCTCCCTCAGGTTATGCTGGAAGCACTAGGGCCCCACAGGAGAGTGGGTGGAAGTAGAGACGGTAGTGGTCTTGCATTTAGTGTCCCCAAGTGTCACCCATGTCAACATTCAATAGGGATCAGACAAGCAAGGCCAGAGTGAGAGATAGTGTACATTTATTTCTTTTTGGATCTTTCCCCAACTTCAAGATATATATGCTCCTGAGCAAAATCACTTGGTACCTCCTGGTGCACCTGACCTTGGACGCAGGACCCTAGTTTGGGTTACTTTTGCTAGAGAAGTCAGCTCTTTCAGTTTTCCTGGCTTGCTAGATCTGATGGATGTGGAGAGAGGTACCCTCCAAGGGTATCTTCTAGTGAAGGGACACGACCACCAGGTACCAGCTGTGCCCTCTGCCTTGCTGTGGCACCGGACTGAGCCCTGAATGCAGATGTTGGGCTCAGGTCCTGGAAAAACAAACATTTTTTGGAACATATTGCAAAAGACTGTCATAATTCAGAGGCAAAAGGTCCTGTTACGGATTTGTTTAACTTGGAGGACAACTCAGAGGGAACCAACTCTTCTTAAAAAAAAATTGGCCTCCAAAATTCCTTCAGTATGATTTTTATTCATGCTACTCACAAGTAGCATCTTATTTTGTGCATTTAAAAATGTTTCAGTTCTTTGATATTCACCTCTGACCCCAGCATTCAGGAGGCAGAGGCAGTCAAGGCTAGTCTAGGCTACATAAAAAAAACTAGGCTCAAAAAAAAAACTCAACACAAACAAACAAAATGTTTGAGTTCCAAGTCTCTGGCATGGGTGTAGACAACATTCACTGTTTTGCCTTTCAGGATGTGTTATGAGGTGGGGTTAGGCACCTTCAGGATGACAGGTTCTCTTTGGAGAATGCTAACATACAGTTCTCAGGCCTCACCCTTACAGACAGAGAAGTAACTGCAGAGCAGAGACAGGCCTTTGGGGACTGTCATTACAGCAGCTGTCGACACTGAGCACTCACTCTGCCTGGCGCTGGACAGAACCATCTAATCCTTATGTCCTGCTTCTGAGAAAGGTCTTGTAATTTCCATTTCAAGTTTGACAGACAGACTTAGAAAGGACACATGAATATCCAAGGTGACATGCTGGTAGGTGGCCCTAGGATTGGAACCCAGGCATGTTTGCCAGCAAAGCTCCTATTCTTGTAAATCAAGGCTGAGCATATTCATGGAGGTTTTGGAGATCCTCCATCCAGGAACCATCCCACGATGATGGATGGAGCGAGGAAGGTAAAACAGAGTAGTCTGCAGGGTCCCTAGAGCTCAGTAAAGGAATGAGCAAAGAGGTGGAGCAGGCCTGGCCTCTCAGAGAAAAAGTTTTGGAAAAGTTGACCTCCTTTTCTCTTGCTCCTGCCCAGAATGACCCTTGCAGTGTCCTGGTTGCCTAAACCTCCACCCTGGGGCCATGTGCAAAGCCATACATCTTCTGAGCCCTCCTCCAAAGCCCCCAGTAGTCCCCTTCCATCAGGACCCTGGCTCCAGTAGCTGTCATTCCTGACATATCTGACAGTCATCTTATTCTTAGAATAACTACTAGCAGCTGGATGCCCAACCTCTCCCAAGGAATTGCTTTAGCAAAGGATATCTAATCAACTTCTGGGTCACAATCACTCTCAGAGCAGTTGGCCCACTGAACTTGAGAGGTGTCTGAAAGGACTGGGTGCTGACACCCACATCTCCCACCTGGGCCCAGCTCTGTGAGCTGCAAGTGTCGCCAGGGATACCAGGTACCTAAGGGGATTTTCAGCACCCTGGGGAGCACCGACTCCAGGCTCAGGTAGGAAGGAAGCATTCCCAGCAGCTTTGTGCCTGACTGCAAGGGCCCTTTCTTCCTGGTCCAGGCATGTGACCCTCCCAGGCGCTAAGAAGCAGAGAGGCATCTGTTTTGTGCACACCTGGAAGCCACCAGGTCACCCTGTTCGCCTGAGGCTACAGAGGATGCTGCGTTCACTAGTGCCAAGATCAGGTTGGGTGAAGTTCACATTTGAGAAAACAGAAGCACAAAGACATTTTAGGTTTTTAATCTTCAACCTTGTCTTCTTCTGCCAGGAGTTCCCATCTTCCCAAGATTTTTCACGAGTATTTTTCTTTAAAAATTGCATTAGGGGGCCAGGTGTTGTGGGATGCATCTGTTATCCCCACTACACAGGACGCAGAGGTAGAAGGATCACAGTCAGAGGCCAGCAAGACTCAAAAGCAGGAGACTTAATCTGATAAACAAACTGAAAACCAAAGGACAGAGGTGTGGCTCAAGTGATAGAGTGCTTACCCAGCAAGTATAAGGACCCGAGTTCAATCCCCAGTACTGCCAAAAAGAGCAGTAAAATGTACATTACATAAAACTTGCCATTTTCACCATTTTAAGTATACAAGTTAGTGCCATTTAGCATGTTCAGAATGTTGTATGAACATCATGAGTGTTTCATCACCCCAAACAGAAACGCTGCACCATTAAACTGTAACTATCCGTTCCTCCCTCTATAGCCTGATAACCTCTACAATGTCTTTTGTCTCTTGAATTTCGCCTTTTCTAGATTGTTCATATAAGTGGACTCTGCAATATTCATCTTTTTGTGTCTGGCTTATTTATCTTAGTATAATATTTTCAGGGTTTAATCCATCCTGTAGCTTGTGCCAGATATTCATTCCTTTTAATGGCTTAATAATGTTCTATTCTATATACTATCATATGCATTATAATGTGTAAGTATAACATCTTTTGTTTATCCATCGCTTATTTTGTTGATAGACATTTGGGTCACTCCCACTCTTTGGCTATTGTGAACATTTATGCACAAAAGTCTGTTGGAATCCTTGTTTTTAATTCTCTCAGATATATGCACAGGAGTGGACTTGCCAGGTGATATGGTAATTTTGGGCTTACCTTTTAGAGTCTCACAAATGCTTCGCAAACATTGGAGGCCTGTGACATCTGCTAGTGTTCTTTTGTTCTTTCTTTTGTTCTGTCGTTCTTTTGCTGTCTGTGCTTTGCTAGTGTCTTAATGGTAACTAACAACAACAGACAGTCTTGAGTTGACATGAAGAGCCTAATTCTACAATCCACAAAGGTGTTTTTTGAAAACATGTCTTAACCAAAGACAAAAAAAAAATCAAGACTTTCTTACTCTTTAACAACTTCCTTCTGTCATTTTTAGCCTTTTTCTATGAAGTGCTCCATAGAAAATGAACCCCAAAGAACCATTACCCCAAATCCCAGTTATCAAGGTTTTCCCACACTTGCCCCATCCATCTCTCTCTTCCAGTTAGTTTTAAAAACAGAATCTTATTTTAAAAATTCATTCATTCATTTGTTCATTTATTTTTGGCAGCTTGGGGGCTCGAACTCAGGGCCTCATGTTTGCTAAGCAGGCGCTCTACCGCTTGAGTCACTCTGCCAGCCTCCAGAATCTTATTTTTGAAGCTTAGAAATAAAAAATGGCATAGAGGGGAAAAAACTATTCATAATATAATCACTCCATGTGACAATGACTTTCAGCCATGAGTTTCTCAAGGCATGGCTTGTGGCTTATAGTTACTGTCAGGTGTCTTGGTTGTCACCTGTAAAAGCCAGTGACTACTTAAGGCTCTTTCTTGCTTTGCTGGTTGTGTAGGCAAAAGAACTCAGGTGCCAGACACTGATCATGGTTCTCCTGGTGCCCTCGACCTGTGTGGGCATGCTGCGTGACTCTGACTAAGAGCGGTGGGGAATGAGAAATAAGACATACACATATAGACATAAAATAGAAAAGCTGGGGATGGGAGGTCTGCACGTTCCTGATGGGAAACATAAGCACCTACCTGAGCCAGAGTGTTTATTTTATAGGTCAGTACAAGGAAAAAGGTAAAAATCAGGCTTTAACAATTCTTGATGCAAGGTGAAAGGAATGAGCTTTGGTGGGCTAATTTTCCTAAGGCTAATGAAGCTTAATTACAACACATCATGCCGGACACCTTACCTAAGGTATTGATTAATCTGGCATCAGGGAGTCTTCTAACAGTTCTGGTGCTTTATCTGGTTTTGCACTGGGGGCTGGTATTTGGACACAGCAGGTTGTGTTCTTCAAGGAGATGGGAGAACAAAGGTCAAGACACCAGGTACTGGGAAAAATATGGTAGAAGAGGCTGTGCAAACTTCTATATGGAGAGGCTGTGCAACTCCATTACATCCCAGTCCAGGGTTCATGCCTGGTCTCCAACATCTCCCCTACTCTATTTCTTAAAAGCTCCCAATGCA